TAAACCATAAGAACAAAATAAAATATTAAAGTGAATACTTCAAACATCTAAACTTTTGTTTCTATCACAAATAAACATCATTTATACTAGGTATTGAGTTTATCTAAGTAGGAGATTAATATAACAACAAGAACTCTTTTTCTTGAATAAATATGGAAAATACGAAAATCTTAAAATTAATGCAGGGAATTTTTCACTAACATTTGGAAAATAAAAAAACCATATTCAGAATCTACACGACGAGAAGATGAACTTTCATATAAAGAACTTACAAATTGGAGCTAAAATGAGAAAGATATGAAAGATTGAAGTTGAAGGTCCAACAATGGTGGAAATCCGAGCTTTGAGGAGGAAGAAGACACCATTTTTTATCTGAGTTCGGTGTGAGATGGTGTGTTTTGAGTTGGGGATGGAAGAGGGCTTTTATAGCCGGAGTTTCGTGGAAGGCGGTCTGAAGGGCGCCCGCTCTCCGGCCATGGTCGGCAGCCTTCGGTCACTTCCCCAACAAAGGTACGTGTACGCGTCAAATCCGCAGCAGGCGGCCATGGAGGGCGGCCGCCCTCCGTGGCCGCCTCCCGTCTTGTCTCAGCGACCGGTATATCAAACATCACATCCTTCCGCAGGCGGCCATGGAGGGTGGCTGCCCTCCGTCCCCCGTCGGCAGCCTTCCATCATTTTGTTGTTATGCAAAGTGTGGTGTGCTAAAACTGTCGAAAACTCGTAGGCGCCCAGAAAGGCGGACGCCTTGTCGACCACCTTACGTCAAATGGAAAAGTTGTCTTGACCAAATTTGTATATATATTTTTTGGATAACTACTGGAATTTGAATTACATGCACTGGATTTATAGTTTATGAGATATGACCAAAATGGTGAGCACATGTCACTTTGCATCGCAACTGCAAATGTCTGACTTCTTTGAGCAATATGGCCATTCTACGATTGTTATTTGGTTATCTGTTTGTCATAAGAGTTGTAGATCAAGAAGATGTCAATGTAATGCAACTTGTATCACAAACTTTGAGCAATCATGCGCCAAGTTATGATCAAAATACGAAGATGTGTCTTTATGCATCGTTCATTTTCATCAAAAGTGGCCATATAGGCGACCCCTCCTTGGTTTTTGAGCTTACTTGCATGATTTCTTCCTCTCTTGGACTCTTCTCATTGAACAATTTGTCAATATATTTTGCAAACTTCCGTATCAATTCATTTGTTGGCAAAAAATGTCACTTTTTTCACGCAATTGACCCAAAATTTCGCCAAACATGTTATGAATGTGATTTTTATCCGATTTCATGAAACTTGAACCAAAATATATAAAACATGCCTTGTTTTTATATTTTCAATCCAAAAATCGCTTAAATTTGATAAGAAAAGTAAGTACAAAAATGGACTTATCACCTGATAACCAAGCCTCTACCCAAACCTGCTCTTCAATACCATTCCCCACTCTTTTTCGGATATTTTTTTAGAACAAATTGGGTCTAAAAAATACTTCTCCAAATAAAAAAGGATTAGTACCAAGACTAGCATTCAAAAAATTAGAGTTTGGGAAATACCTTGCCTTAAGAACTAGGCCCATGAGACTATTTTCTTCAGTAGTCAACCACCACCCTTGTTTGGCTAACATAGCCAAATTAAATTCCACTAGCCTCCTCAAAACCAACCCTTTTGCTTCCTTCAGTCTCCATAAACCATTCCAACCCCTCCATCTAAGACCCTTTTGATCAAGTTTTGAATTTCTCCACCAAAAGTCATTCATTATTTTTCTATTCATCACACAAATCTTTTGATAGTAAGAAGACATTCATAGCATAAGTGGGCATAGTCTCAAAAATATTTTTAGCAAACCCGCTCGACCCGCTCTTGATAAAAAATGGTTATTCCAACTCTTGATCCTGCTATATACTTTGTAACGAAGATATCCCAAGATAGTTGTTTTATGTTTCCCCACTAGGGCCAACAAGCCCAAATACCGTGTCTGTCCTCTCCCTCTCAGTATTCCCAGGAAGGGCAGAAAGAAGCCTTAAACGGTTCGCCCACATTTAAGCCGAAGGTCAGAAGGATTTAGCATAATTTACCATATGACCGGAATATTCCTCATATATCTGCAAAATTCTTTTAACCGTGTCACATTCACCATTAGTTGCCTTAAAGAAAAGGAAGTTGTCACCAACGAATAATAAATGAGATATCCTCGGAGCCCCTCTGCAAACTGCTACTCAATGTATATCCCCTCTAGCTTATGCTTGCCTCAACATAGCAATAAAACCTTCCGCAACCAGAATGAATAAATATGGTGACAATGGGTCACCTTGCCTCAGCCCACGCCCTGGAACAATGGGTCCCATAAAATCTTTATCAAGCTGAATGTAGTAATTAACAGTAGAAACACATTCCATGATCATATCTATCCATCTACGTTTAAAACCCATACGCACCATCATTTCCCTTAGAAAATCTCAGCTGACTCTATCATACGCTTTACTCATCTAACTTGAGAGCCACATATCCCTCATTCCCATATTGTTTACGCTTTAAATAATGCCTAGTCTCAAAGGCCACAATAATATTGTCTACAATCGATCTCCCTGGGATAAATTAAAGGCACTTTGATTTTCCCCAACAAGATGTCCCAAAATATTTTTCAGCTTATTAGCCAAAACTTTCGAGAAAATCTTATAAATCACATTACATAAAGCTATCAGCCTCCAATCCCTCAAATTATCAGTTTTTTCCTTCTCTAGAATTAAAACAATATTTGTGATATTTAACTCCTTAGAAATAACACCAAATTCGAACATACCTGCGCAAAGCCTAGCTATCCCAGGCCCCACAATGTCCCAGAATTTCTGAAAAAAGCCGGATTCATGCGATCCGAGCTAGGAGCTATTTCAGGATGGATATAAAAAATAGCCGCCTTGACCTCCTCCGACTGATAGTTCGAAGCAACCACCCATTCTATTCTTACATGTGGAAAACTTCCTGCGTCCCTCCCCGATTGTCCGACACCCCCTGCAAAAAGAGATTCGAAAAATACTCTTTCACCATGTTCTCCATTTTCCTCTGTCTGTAATCCATGACCCATCCTCCAGCTTCAGTCCTACCATCTTATTTTTTCTTCTTTGTTTGACATCATTATGGAAAAATCAGGAGTTAATATCTCCTTCATTTAGCTAGAATTCCTTAGCTCTTTCGCCTCCAATTTTGTTTTTCTTTTTCCATTAGCAAATGAAGCACCATCCACATTATAATAAACTCAACCATACTACATGCATTGTCTCAGCCCTTAGCCATGCTAAGGCATTTCTTGCAAGCTTGAATATGATGTCTGAACCCTTTAGAGCGACAACTATCCCATCACAACAATTTTTTCACAAAAAAGAATTCTATCGCTGACTGACATATGAGTACTAGCACTCCAGCTACTAAACACCACCATTCGATACTCCTCCTCCTTGAGCCAATTGTTCTCAAATTTAAACCTCCTTGAAGATATCCCATGAACTGTTGGAATAATTCTTACCAAAAGAGCCACATGATCACTGATCGGTGTCTCGATAGACGTTGTCTGAGCCTCCATAAACTTATCCCACCATTCATCATTCACCAAGATGCGATCTAATTTTTCCTCTACCCAGTTCGGTGAACCCTTTCCACGCTCCCATTTCCACTGATATCCATCAAAAGGGAGGTCTCTTAACCCACAGGTCAAAACAGCTTCGTGAAACCCCCACATCCTCCATCTTGGATGAGGGATTCTACCTTTTTTCTCCGAATCATATAAAATATCATTGAGATACCCTACTACTATCCATGATAATATTTATTTTCGGCCATACCTCGTAACATGTCCTAAGCAGCACGACGTCAGCTAGTTTCTGGAAAGGCGTAATAGCATGTGAGCCGCCCAATTATTTTCCCTGACTGCCATTCTCGCTATGCAGCCAATATAATTAGAGTGTCCCACTAATATTGTTATGTCCACGTCCTCATTCCAGTCTAGGGCCAAACCATCACTTCTGCAATCGCTGTCTGTCCCACCCGTTCGAGCAAAACCACGCACATGGAGTAACTCCTTCGCTCGCTGACACCGAAGTTTTGTCTCCATAAGGAATAAAATCGATGGGTGATGGTTCTGAATGATGTCCGTCATCCCTTGAATTGTTATCCTAACCGTCTACAATTCCAACTCACAATACTCATATTTGAGGAAGGAAAAACTCACCGGACTCAATGATCGAAGCGACCGTCGCCAGGAAAACCCTAGTCTTTCCCTAGACAATGGTGACTATTATTAAATAAGTAAGTGTTTTCCATTAAAAAAAGAATAAAATGAATATATCTGCAAATGATAAGATAGATAAAAAAAATCTGCAAAGTTCAATGTGACTAAGGGAGCGTTGGATATTCTTGTTAGCAATGAAGAATTTTTTAGAAATTGCCCTGAGTAAAAACGTTTTGAAATTTCAAAATAGGATTTTCATGTTTTTATTCCTCAAATAAGAGTAATTCTGCCAAGTTTGGAAGAAAATGCCATGTTTAAAGCCTATTAATGCCAAACTTGTCAAAATTTACTCCAATTTAGGGAATAAAAAATATAATAATCTTATTCTGAAATTTCAAATTTTTTTTATTCTATTTAGAGAATTGGAGTGAGGGTAACAATTAACAAAGTGCCAAGCGATCCACCTTGCGAAATTACCATGACTTTGGATTTGTTTGGAGCTGAACTGCGAAATTAACAACTTCTGCTTCTGCTCTCTGAAGGAGCAGAAGTAGTTTTAATAATCAAATCCAAATACTCCTTAAATATGGAGTAAAACCTGAATCAATTTTCAAAAGCTGGTCACCCCAACTTCTAAAAAACTGATTCTAAGAGTAAATTAGAGCATCAGAATCACTTCTTCACTTTTACCCAAACACTTCAACTTCTGTTTCTGCTCTCTGAAGAAGCAGAAACAGTTTTAAGAATCAAATACCCGGTAAACCCTAAAACCTTGCATCGTTTTATCCTTCATACTCAGTTTGGGGTGCCTAGAGTTCACAATGTTTTGCTGTTTCTTTTAGTATTTCAGTCGTAAATCGAGTTTCATGTGGTCCAATTTTGTTTGATAGCTGTACCTCTCCCACTCTTTTTCAAGGATATTCATAGATGGAGCACAGATTGGCTAATTTATGGAGATTGCCAACGAACAACAAGCAATTCGTTGAAACCGCCTTGGCTTCCGACCTCAGAGTCGACGGTCGGCGCCCTTTCGACTATAGGCGTCTCTCTATAAAGTTTGGCCGGTAAGAATTTTATTTCCACTTTAGTTGCAATCGGCGCTGTATTAACATTTGATTTACACTATACACTGGTGCAGTTAGTTACGTTGACATGAATCTGTCTCCTGAAATCTGTTTTTAGAAGTGGACAATTCTTGAGCGTGTGATGGCCATATACTATATATGAATTAGGCTAATTGGTAACATATGTAGTATCAAAGTTTCATGGTTTCAACATACTAATTAATGAAGAAGTTATATGTGGATTAGTGTGCATAACATGTTATTGCTGACAATACTCAATATAATTATATGATTATTCTTTCTATTTCATAATTTTTGGAAGTCATGATCAGCCTTCAGCCTATGTTGATTGTGCAGGGAAGATGGGACTGCAGAGGTGCAGCTCGGACAAACTCATGTGATGGGAGTTGTCACTTCTCAGTTAGTGCAGCCTTATCGTGAAAGGCCGAATGAGGGAAGCCTTGCAATATATGTTGAACTATCTCCCATGGCTGATCCTTCATTTGAGGCAGGCCGTCCTTGCGAGTCTTCTGTGGAGTTGGGACGCATAATTGATCGTGGATTGAGGTAATTTTTTGTTTACTCATCTCTTTGGTTATGTTTGAATCTCGAAAATGATAGTTATATGAAGACAAATGCTAATGTGATTTATTTTCATTCTGTGGTTTTACCTTGTGGTTTTTTTTTAATTTAACGTTATTTTAGATCTTTTTTCGTCATATAGTCGAAATTATAAAAAAATGTCTTTGACATCTAGAATATTTTCATTGGGTTTGAGGTAATCATTTTCTCTCTATTTTCCACCATAATTTCTTTCCCTAGTATTTCCTGTCTCCTGAGGTGCAATGATACAACAACAACAACATCCAAACCTTAATCCCAAAAGAATTTGAGGTCGGCTAACATGAATTGATCTATGATATCGATGCCAAACAGAGAAGATGGATAAGAAAGGGAAGAAAAAAAGTAAGATAAAATGAATAAAATAAAGATAAATAAATATAAGATAACAATAACACTAGAATATCATTTTCATTTTCATTTACCCCAGTGTCGCAAAGGCTCCCACCTACGGTGGGGTAAGGGGGGGTCGGATGTACGCAGTCTTACCCCTGTACTAAAGTACAGAGAGACTGTTTCCGGATGACCCATAGTGAAAATCGCGTCCAAAATTGCATGGACTGACTGCTTCTCCATAACAAAGAAGCGCAGACAGTTTAGTGAGTCATTTTGCTTTATTCCATCATAATCTCAAGCCAAACAATAACACTAGAATATAAGAAAGATAAAAGAAAAAAAATAAAAGAGCATAAAAAAGCTAAAAGATAAAAACAACATAAGCATATAAGCAAAGAGGAAAAGTAGAAAAGACATCAATTGCCACACGGATGTGCGCCCTCCACTTTGCTCTCTCCGAAGCCATACTCTCATCCAACTCAAGAAGATGCATATCAGTTCTGATTCCTCTAATCCAAGTCTGTTTGGGTCTTCCCCTCCCTCTCTTCCCTGCCTCTTCTCCCACCCCTCAAGTCGTCTAACATGTGCATCAGTGCATCACTCGGTCTTCTATGCATATGCCCAAACCACCTCAAACGAGACTCTTGCATCTTATCTTCTATAGGTGCTACTCCCACCTTTTGTCTGATTATCTCATTCCACACATACAACACAACATACGCATCTCTGCCACACTCATCTTTTGAATGTGGCATTGCTTCACCGCCCAACACTCTACGCCATACATTAAAATAATCAACGGTTAGCAACCGTTGCCCAAGCTTAAAGCTAAAACTCCAATATTATTAATTGATGTACCAACAGTCATCCTTAGGGGTTTAAATAACCCTCTAAGTCTTAATAATAATAGGAATCCTAATTAAACCATACTAGGAAACTAAATAGAATATGAAACCTCTAATTTTAATAAGAATAGAAGTCCTAATTAAACCATTCTAGCAAACTAAATAGGAATAGGAAACCTCTTATTCTAATAAGAATAGAAGTCCTAATTAAATCATACTAGGAAACAAAATAAATTAGGAAACAAAATAAAAGGAATAATTAAAATTAATTAAATGGCCCACAGCCAGCCCACGAAGGTGGGCTCAAGATTATTTTAAGAATACTGGATAAAAATTCACTAAATTTTATTATGTTTAACTTCTATTTAGATAAATTTCTCAAATTTTATCTACAATTGCATATTAGCACACAAGTAACATAAATTGATCTTTTTTATTCATACTTGTATGTATATATCTTAAACCAAATCTAATCAAACAATATTAATAATGTGATTTGCTATACGCCACTGTACTGATATTGTTATGATGTCTTCAATGTGATTATGTACCCGTATAACCTTTAGTAGATTTAAGGGCATGCATGTTGAGGGATGTTTCTCCATAAAAAGTTAAAATTTATAGGAACAATTAACAACGATGGATTTTGTAAAGAGATGGTGGTGGGTATGTTGCTATAATGTTGTAGGGTATGCCTGGTTAGGGGTTTTGGAGGTGGGTGAGGATTGATTTTTGTTTAGCAAATATATCTTTATTTCTTAGACATAGACTAGATATAACTCTATTTAGTTGGATCATGTATTCCTACATAAATTTTTATCTTCAATTCTTTCCAACCATTTAGATATCACATTTTTGCATGAAGGGTTAGTTGTACAAGAAATATTGAAATGCATTGAAAGTGTAAGGAACTGTTTGAGTATCTGATATTGAAGACTGAACATGCAGGGAAAGCAGAGCTGTGGACACAGAATCTCTCTGTGTTGTTTCTGGGAAGTGGGTTTGGTCTATCCGCATTGATCTTCACATTCTAGACAATGGAGGGTAAGTTTTGTAATGTGGTTTTATGACTTGTTACAATAGTCTGACTCAATAAGAGAACTACTTATCATTTCCACTTTTCTTATGATAATAGGAATCTTACTGATGCTGCCAATGTTGCTGCCTTAGCTGCCCTTTCAACATTTCGTCGGCCTGAATGCACATTGGGAGGAGAAGATGGTCCAGAAGTAATATTGCATCCCCAGGAGGTCTGCTTTTTGGTTATGATTATTCCTGGAACAAAATAATGGATAACAGTAGCTTGTATTAAAAGCGCGCTATAACTTCCATCATATCCTTCATGATCATTATAGGGAGTATGCACTAGTTGCTCTTGCTTAACTTGCTTTTACATTTTACAGGAACTTATTTAATTCATATGCTGCAGTCATTATTGTCATGAATCCTTTGACAGGGGTGGGTATTTCGGGTTTTGTTTGATTTTATCGGGTTAGTTTGGTTCAAACACGCTGGGGGAAATGGTTGTGGAATTAGTACAACACTTAGTTTGGTCTCCTTTGGGTTTTCTTTGTTTTTTGAGGTGTTTTTTGTTCGGTTTTGTTTTAATCAGTTAAACTTTAATTTGGAATGATATAGTTTGGGAAAGAAATCATCAAAATATGCTCAAGTTTTAGTTTGGGTTAATTTAATTTGGTTTGATTTGGTCAAAACAAACTGAAGTGTCCACAACTACCTTAAGCCACCTATTTTTTAAGATATACTACGTCAATCCCTTAAGATTTGGACATGAAGGAGTGGTGCGGCTATTAATAAAAGTGGACTTGTGTGATTGATAATTGCATTAATAAAGTGTGAATAAAGTAAGAATTAATTGTAACCACCCAAATATAACCAAATATGATATGAGACAAGTTTTTGGGAGGACGAAAAAGGTAAAATGGGACAATGATAGAGGGACGGAAGGAGTAGTTTTGTACGGGTTGCATTGACTTTATGAACTTTTTTACCAAACACTAAACATTTGATTTCTTGTAATTAAAATAAGCAAGCCTGGAGTTATTATTTTGGCTGAATTTGCTGATGAGGGCTATTTTACCCTTTTTATATAGCTTTTTCTTCATTTATCAGTAAAATTTATTTTGAATATAATTTGTTAGTAATTCTTCAGATTTGGCCGTTTCAGTTGTAACTTCAGCAAATTTCATCTTTACCAAACAGGCTCTAAAACTTCCTTACAGTGATCTTACTCCTATTTACGTGGGGGCTTACTGAATTGGGGAGTGCTGATGTGCACCTTTTCCCAACAAGCAGTTTAATGTTTTTGAGTCTTTCTAAGAGAACCAACAGTTGAGTTAATTTGTTTCTCTCCACAGGTTAGGGACCCTATACCTTTGATTATACACCACTTGCCTATAGCAGTCACATTTGCATTTATTGGCCAAGAGAACATTGTGGTAAGATAGTAGACAGAGTACACTGACTACATTCCTAACTTTGACTGAGGTTGCATTTTTATGAGGATCTCATTTCATTACTAATTTTCCATTTATTGTGTGCTATTAGGTGATAGATCCAACCCACTATGAAGAGGTTGTCATGGGAGCTAGAATGACTGCCACACTAAATGCAAATGGTGATGTTTGTGCAATTCAAAAGGCAGGAGGAGATGGTATCATGCAGAGTGTCATAATGCAATGCCTACGCATCGCCTCAGTTAAGGCTTCAGATATAACAGACAAGATCAAGATTTCGGTATGTGATAATAATAATAATATCATAATAACAAAAGATTTATGTGGCACCGTAATACTAACAAACGCTTCCATATGCACTATTCATCCTTCTTGTGTTACCCTCCTAGGAGATGAATGGTGGAGATCTCATGAAAATTTAATAGGAGGGGAAACTAGTTGACCCTGGTTGAGGGGCAATGTTGGTCACCTATTCTCCTAACCCCCCATCACCCCCTACATGTGTGTGTGCACACAGACATACTCACACACACGGTATGTGCATATGTAATATTACTCTCTTTGTTCCATTAAGTTTGGAGCAAGTAAAAGTGGCGCACATACTAAGGAGAAGGGGAATTGAGTGGTCAATATTCCATTTGTAAAGAATGGACGGTTTTGAGCCACACAATTATGAACCTTGTGGTGTGGGACTGGCATTTCATGATGGACCAAAATAGAAATATAGGACATAGTTGGACGAATTAAGTAGAGCATTAAAGGGAACCAATAGCAGCATAGTTGAAGTGTAAAGAGCCTTCTTAAATGCCAAGGGTTGTAATCCCCAGAGCAACATGTTCTATAAGGGTTTGAGAGCTTATAAGGGTTAAATTGAAACTTCAAAACCTTTAAAAGTAATGTGTACTCTGTGACTTGTTTCCAATTTCATTCTTACCTGCACAAGACATGAAGTACTCTTATCTATAATAATTGTACATTGTTAACTTAAATTAAATCTAATTACATACAAATTATATAAAATCATGTTAACTTGTTAAGTAATTAGTGAGATCACTCTGTCAATTTGTTGCTGATTTCAGCGTCCATTATCAGGGAGCGGTGAAATAGTTTAACATGCACTAGTTAGTAGTTACCATTAGAGTGTGACTTGACCACTTTTAGGTTTTTGTCGCATCTGCCACTCCATTTAGGTGTCATTTCCATCATGGTTTGATTTTGACCCTCCTAGACATTGGGGCGGGGTAGCTTCGGGGAAGCCAAGTTAGCCAACCCCCTCCATGGCAGGTGTCATTTTCTGCTCACAGTCTGAAACAGCTAAAGACAAATACAGAGTACATCTTAATTTCATTTGCATGGATTATGTGCAGGTTGAATCATACAACAAGGAAAGAGCACTCAGAAAGATCAAATGGCACAAAGAGGCTACCAATGCAGTTGGTGTTGTCAATCATCATACTCACAGGGAAATAAATAATTTGACTAAACAGAATATGAAAGAAAGAGTAAAGCGGGAGTGGGGAGCGAGTGAAGGTAATGATGACATGGAGGTTGAAACACGGCAATTTTCAGAGTCGAATGAGACAGAACCAGGATACCAGAATCCAGAAGCTTCTTCATCGATAGCAAATGAAATATCTTCCAACAGAGAAATCACTTTGAAGGATGATGCGAGGACTGAGCGCAAGAGAAAGAAGAAGAATAAAGGCTCAAATCCATCCGGAGGCTTTTTTGTCAAGGTCTGATTTGAGTAAGTTGTGTAACCCATTTGTAAGTTGGGTAATTGTTTCTGGAGGGTAATCCAACTTGCGCTACCCCATCAGCCCCATTCTGTTATTCTTTAATTTTTATACATTAGTTGGTGAGTTGGGCTGTTTGTGTTTCCACTTAATTTTTGTCAAAAGAAGTTCAATACCATGTTTGAGTATGTTACCTTTTGTGAAAAGATGCGGGAAAGAGGTATGTTACAAGATGATTTCTAGGGGTGAGCACTGCTACAAGATTGGACTGGAACCGGTTTGGATTGGAACCGGAATCACCAAAGTAATTGGACTGAAGATTCTGGTCTAAGACCGGACCGGACCAGATTATTCCAGTTTTGACCGGAGTCATTGGACAGGTATAGATCGTATTTTACTTTCATTTATTGTTTTTTAGAAGTTTCATCTTTAAAAAATAGGTTGTGATTATTTAAAAGTTACCTTAATAGCTTGAAATTTTTATTATATTTTTATGTTTTATGTATGATCTTTTCTCATTTAATCTTTTATACTCCGTATTAGAACTAAAAAATCTCCTAATAGGCTAATATGATCATGTTAATATAAGAAACTAATATAATTTCTCGATTAATGCAATGAATGGTTTAACTCGTTAGCTTTTCAAATTCAATAAAATATAGCTTAATCAATTACGTATGTATTAAGTATTATCATCAAAACAAGACATCAAATAAATAACAAGAATCGACCTATATTTTAAGGCTTTTTCCTTGAATATAACTGATTTGAAGCTAATTTTCAAAAAATGTGACCATTTTTACAAAAGGACAAAAAAGTGACTAAAAAGGTCACATATTTAGAAAAACTTGATATCATTGCCATTTTTATGACACCGTCAGATTTTTTGTGTCACTATCAAATTTTTATATCACTTTTCAAATGTCATTACCTTTCTTATGTCACTTTCAGATGTCACTGTACCGAAAAACATGTCACTGTGTCGCTAGAAAAATTTCTGGTGACTTTTCTCTATCAAGTTTTTCACTCGAAATCATCACTCATCAGCTCATCTATCGCATCGACACCGCCACGGTCACGTGATACCGCCTATGGCCCCTTACGCAGCTCCAGCCCCCTCCCCTGCACCTCCATCAACCTCCTTAGCCCTTACGCCTCCATCCCCCTCCCTTGCACACTAACCCCCTCACCTGCTCCCCCAGCCCCCTCCCCAGCCCAGCCACTTGCCTCGTTGTCCACAAACACCGGTCGTCGTCGATAACCAACTTTGACTGCTGTTGTCTAACAAACACCAGCTGCTGCCATTTGCCTCACCTTTCTTACCATTGTCAACGCTAGCCCCAAATCCCCTTCCCCTGACCTAAACACCCCTCCTGAGCCCTTTGGTCCTTTCCCTAGCTTCCCTTGCAATTGCCCCAAATCCAACCCCGAGCCCCATGAGAAATAGCCACGGTCCCCAGTCTTCGCAACCCCAAATCCAGCCCACTTGATAACCCCCCTCACCTTACTAGCCCGCCCCTTTTCCGGCAGCTTCCTTAACCCTAGCTTGAGATTTTGGATAGAAGAATAAAGGGGAAGATGAAGATACACGACGACGACGTTGTTGGGCTTGCCTCACTCGTCGGCGTTGGAAGTCTGGAAGAGATGTAAGGAGATGATGGCCACCGTTCATCGCTGAGTGCGCTGGAAGCTTTAAGGGATGCAATCGATCATTTGTCGTCCTTATGCGGGAGAGGGTGGTTTGTTGTGGTGCAATTGTAGATCTTCTCTCTCATCTCCGTTAAAGCTATTTCATCTCCCTGGATGCGGAAGAGGAGATGTCGATGGTCAGAAACTGCTGTGGCTGGTGTTGGGGTGGGAGGCTGGGAGCAGGGGCACGCTGGGGTGCGAAGGAGAAGGATATGCGGAAGAGGCGAGATGTTTCGTTGGTCCCGTGGTCACTTTTTTGTCAAACATAAATTTAGTCATATTTTTGACTACTAAAAGGTAAGGAGTAACATTTGTGCCATTATTTCATATTTTAATGTTTTAGGTTGTAGAATCTTTTTAATTTAAGGGGAAAATAATTTAAATATGCTAAATTTTAATGGGGTGTTATGTGTGTACCATAAACTTGCACGTGTAATATATATTTACTCTTAACTTCATAAAATATCATTTTTGCACCATGATTATATTTTAATTACAAAAACAAATTTATGGGAGTAATTATATAATTTAAAATACCTTAAGCCTAGTTAGAATGCAATTAACATTCTAAAAATTCATCTGTGATAGAAATAATTTTACATCCAGTACAATTTAATTTTAATTACATCCTCGTAAATGTATTTAAAACACTTATTGAAATTGGCTACTGGTGCTATAGCAATCTTGTGCCCCTCTTAGAGTCCTAGAGTCTCAGGTGAATAATAACACATTATCACGACCCCGATATGTGATATCGTTGTCATACTGCCAAGGTCGACGAAGTAACACATGACTTACATAGGGGTGGACTGGGCCGAGCCGAACTGGCCCGTGAACCGAACCGGGACTGGATGGCCGGTTCCGGGCTTTAGCCCGGGTTGGGCGGGCCTGGCAGGTCGGGCTCGGGCTCTGTTTTTCTTGAACTGGCTCGAGCAGTCCGGGCTGGGCTCGGTTCACTTTTTTGGATTTTTCAATTTTTTTTTCTTTTCCTGGGGTAGGGCTGTGTGTTTTGGAGAGGTTTGAGGGGTGGGGGTGAGGGGGGGGGGGGTCGGGGGTTAATTAGAAAGCAAAAAAAAAATTAAACATTGGACCGATCGGGACCGACCCGACCCGGTTTGGCCCGGACCCGGTATCAACCCGTGCAGGTTTCGGGCCCAACTTCTGAAAAAAAGCCCGGCTTGAACCAGCCCGGAGCCTGGCCCGGCCCGGGCCCGATCCATGCCTAGACTTACATCCATATTCAAAATGTCACACACAATCTCATCCTTGTACATCTTCCCAATAGACATAGGAACCTCGCAGGTTTGTGATACTCTCACTTGTGACCCCAAGGCGCAGGGTTTCTGGTGCGGTTCTGTTTCCAGTTTCAAATACTCCTTTAGTTTCCGGGATACTTGATTCTCGGTACTTCAATTACCCACTATGAGGTTACACAATTTATTCTTAATACAACAGTGTGCACGAAACAAACTTTTCCGTCGTCCCTTCTCTTTGGACGAGAACAAAATTCGTTGGACCTCAATATTCACTCTCTCCTCATTTTCTTCTTTAGCAAACTAAGCAGTAAGCACCTTCATATTCATTAGTTTCCTTTTCGTTTTCATACTTAACAAGAGCGACAGTTCTCCTGGAGGGACAAACGTTGGACTTTTGTCTGTATCCCTGGCAATGGTAGCATTTATTTCCACTGGGTTAAACATATGGGTTACCTACCTTTTGATTCGGTGTTTTGACGGGTCCGTGATTATAATTGCTTGTTGTGCTGCTTCCTTTAGTCAAAGGTTGTGTTTCTTTAGGCACCACCTCCTTTTCCCTCTCATTCCCTGCCTTCCGAGTGTTTTGTGATGTAAACTTGCGAAAAGGTGGAAAGTGCTTAAAAGAATTTTCCATCAGTTCTGCCTTCAAAGCCAACATAGAGGCTTCAATAATGCTCCACTACAAACCCATCCCTTCCTGTATTGAACCCTTTAATTCGCTGATATAACGAGCCATTCCCTGCCCCTCAGTCTCACCTAGTTCATTGCGACCGGACAGACACACAAACTCAGTTGTATATTCAAATACAGTCCTCCTTCCCTGAGCGCACTCGATATACAGTTTCTAAAGAATTTGCACATAATATGTTGGTAGGATCCGCTTTATCATCAGTTGCCTCATACACCTCAAGTCTTTACTGGTTCTTTCCTCTCGCATTGCCTTTGATAAACTAGCTTATCCCACATTCCCACCATACTGCAACAATACTTTTCAACCTAATCACAACCATCTTGACCTACTTGCTTTCCGACACTTCTATAATACCGAAAAATCTGTCAACGTCGATTTGCCAATCCATAAATTCTTCAACTCTAGTGTTTCCATAGAACAAGGGGATATCGGCCTTCACTCTGCAATCCTGGAGATCGTGTTGATCATCATCATAACCTATGGATTTTTCTTCTTCTTCGGACTCGGAACCATCTTCCATCGATCCTCCCCACGTTGAGGATACTGATGTCGACCCTCTCTCCTATTCCCTGGACGCCTGGTGTGGTCGTCGTTATTGTTGGTAGCTATCTGGGCAGATAGTTGGGCTGTCACAGCGGCAACTCGGCAAGAGCCTCAGTGATCCTGGTGGTGAATTCATCAAGGTCTGCTTGGGTAATTGCTTGATCTCCCATATTCTTTCAGCCAAGTAAAGAATGCTCTGATACAAAAGTGACCCCGGACAGAAGCACAAAATTAAATTGATGTCAACCTCGAATTGATGTTCGAGTTTGTCATCAACGAACTCGAAGAGTTCCTTCAAAAATCCACCGAAAAATTAGAGAAAGACTCTGTTTTACTTTATTGAAATGTAAAATTTGTTTAATGTACTTGGAAAGCTTAAATACTATTTGGGGTGTGGCTTTTAAGGCCCAAACTCAACAAGAAGTAAATTATGAAAGTTTCAAGTGAAAATTTGAAAATTAATAAAACGTAAAATTTGAGGCACAAATACTATGCTGCTCGTTCTGCCAACTTCGTGTCGATATGCTCAGCAAGCCGCTCTGCATCATATTACATGTGCAAGTTTGAGGTACTTATGTTACACCTCTTCAAAGTTTGGAATACAACAACATCCAAGCCTTAATCTCAAAAGAATTTGAGGCCGACTACTCTTCAAAGTTTGGAATATTTAAATTATTTCTCCCTTAATCTGAACATATAAATAATGTGTAGATTGAGTGACTTTAATATAAAGAGTGACTTTTTATATTAATATCAGAAAGCATACAAATCAATTTCCTGACAATTATTACAAATCGATCGTAAGCTCTCTGAATAAACATAAAGTCTGACACCTCATACAAAGCAACTTGATTTTAATTCCTAGATATTAAAAGGGCAATTTTAAGCCTAAAACGATCGAAACCGAAACACTGCTTATCAAAAGTACTCCAAATATCCAAATAAAAAACATTCAAATTAAAATAAAAACAAGTTCTACAAAAGAAAAAATAATATTAGAATAAAATCTTTCCATAAATCTCTTCATTCATGGCACGGAGGTGGCTGTGGAAGTGGATGAGCTGCTGCAATATGAATGAATATTAAATTCTTCTTACTTTGTTTCGGATAGATGTAGAAACAAATGGAGAAAAACACAACATTTATACCTCTACCATCTCTTCGTAGTCGAAAAGAAGGTAGACCGAAACTCATGACTAATTGAAGTTGTTCGCGACACCAAAGAAACTCCCCACATCGAGAAAGACAAAACACCGCGAAGAGCCAGTGCCCAGGAAGAATCACCATAGAACAGAATAAATACAACGATAATAGAAGAACAATCAAGTTGGGCCATACACCTACCAAATCTTCGAAAGTGGATGCCACATATGAAAGAAACATGTGTCCAGATGAGAGAGTCGGTCTCTCCATTTCCATCACTCAACCGTGTCCCAGCTACCCACCTTTGCTGATGTCCACCTTTCTCCTTGTGGACTTTGCCCGCTCACCTAGGCTTTCGTCCACCTCATTTGCTTGCCTCGCTCATGAGACGCCTTGCCGTCGTGAATATTTCAGGTTTTGGATCTGATCGAATCTAGAATCGCTAAAGTTATTGGATCGAAAACTGAACAACTATGCAACCAATCAAGGTTCAGACCGACTGTTCCAGTTCGGTTTTATTTTCTACTCTGGACCAGATTAAGCTCAACCCTGAATTGATTTCATACAACAAAGTGAACCTATGCATATATAAAAGTATAGGAAGAAACAAAAGATGAAGGGACAAAATAGTTTTTTTTTTAAAAATAAACGTTTACAGAGACAACTATTCACGTACCCACAACTACAAGATGTTCTTCATACAACCTATCCATAAATTGACTTACCATAATGACTGTGAAAACGGTATTCGGTAGAGTATGTGATAAGTAGACGAGTCGTTCTACTAGTTTTTGATATTGTCGAACATCAACAAGCTTTCCTTAGTGATATTCTCAGTTTCTTGTTGGCGTCTATTGGTCAGCAAGCACCCATCCCGGTTTCTTTGAGAAAATCAAGATTGTATTTTCTCGAAGAGTCCATCCTTTGTCCTTCAGACTTCAATGCACGAAATATACTTCGTCTCTCTCAGATCTTTCAGTTCAAATTCTTCAGAGTCAAAATTTCATCCGTTACTCCTCACGATCATCACGTGTGCTATTAAAACTGTTGGTTTAAAGGTGAGTAAACAAAGTATGGTCAGATTGAGCTTGAGCATAACTGTGGGCCTGTGGCTCTTGACAACTTTTCTAGATCTATTAAGCGATGCTCTCGGCGACTCTCTTAATCCACACACAGTTTTTTTTAGTTTGCACACTTTTGAACCAAAGCTATTTTCAAACCCAGGTGGTGGTTCCATGTAGACGTCTTCTACTAATTGTCCGTTAAGAAGACATTTTTCACATCGGATTGCCTCAAAGGCTAGTCCAGGGGAGAGAGAATTAACATGAACTACAAATTCTTTATTTAAAATGGAAAGTGACAAAGTTAAGGGGACAATTAAAAAAAGAAAGCTAGCAAAACTGTAAGGGACCAAAGGAGTATGTTTTTCAATTCGAATAGTTTTGGAATACAAATACTCTACACACACAACCCCACAATAAATATATAATATATTCTACAAAAACTATAATACAATATAAAATATGTATAACATATAGATCCAGCTAGGGATGCACTTGGTTCCGGTGGACCTTGTCCTTTCATTTTTTTTCATTTCCATGTTGGAAAATTTGAAGTATTTCAAATGAAAAATAAATAGATAAAACTTGTTTTTATTATTTTAAAACATTTTAATTGTTGCTCCTTAGCTAAGCACGTTACAATAGTGCTAGCAAGAGTAGAATTAATATTATTAAATAATATTTGCTCCTAACGTTTTGAGAATTAGTGGGAGTTGGAGGATTTTTCAACTTTGATCTCAACATTGATTACATTTATTATTATAAACGTTAGTACTTAGTACTCAACGTTCCAATCAAGCATGGAACAACGTTCAACTTTTATGTATATATATAGATGTGTTCGGCCATGCTTGGGGTGGCTAAGAAAAAAGATTATTGAGCCTAACATCCCCTAATATTTCACTCTGTTGGATTAATGATTTTCTACTCTCGTTGTTCTGTTATCGGCTTACGTCGAAGAGCTCGTTTTATCTTGGGGAAATGTTTTCGCTAGTCGGAAATACTTTTTTGAGGACAGCGTTTACGTGACTCGAGCTATATTATTTTCTAACGCTTTTTTGCAGGTTTATCCGACCAATTTCCAACAACAATCTCAAGAAAGTAGTTAGCGTCGGATATGCCTGCACGGCTGCACGCATGATCTCACAAGGTGTTGCTGTCGCACTCATCGCGGCTATGCTAATTTTGCATGTGTGGTGCGATTTAGACTGGTATTTGGATATATTCCTACGTATAATGTTTACTCTTTTTTTTTCCTACTTACAATAAGCCATACTTTACACCATTTTTTAAGAAAAATGTTATTCATTTATTTAGTGGTAAAATGACAACTATGGAAAACAACAACCCACTAAAATCAAGTTTAAACTTGGTTTGTAGTGATGATAAATTTATTGCGGTTGTTTCTCAAAGTTGCAAAACTAGTGATGTGAATGAGTGGGTGGTAGACTCCGGGGCTACCAAGCATATTTGTAAAAACAAAAATGCTTTTACCTCCTATACTATTATAGGAGATGGTGAAGAGCTCGTGTACCTAGCGGACTCTAAAACCGTTAAGGTGCATGGAAAAGGGAAAGTTCTTCTGAAGCTCACATCGGGGAAAACTTTATCACTAAATGATGTGCTTCATGTGCCCGATATTAGTACTAATTTGGTTTCCGTCTTTCTCTTGGGAAAAGTTGGGGTTAAAGTTTCTTTTGGTTGTGACAATTTTGTTATGACCAAAAATGAAGTTCTTGTGGGAAATGACTATTGTAAGAATGGACTTTTTGTGCTTAGTATTTCTGAAATATTGCATGATAATGCTTCTGTTTATTTAATTGATTCTTACGATGTGTGGCATGCTAGACTAGGACATGCAAGTAATTCTTATATTAAAATGCTAAATGATTGTGGTTTGATTTCCAGCAAAAATAAAATGACACTAGAAAAATGTGATATTTGTGTTCAATCTAAACTAACCAAAAAACCTTGTCCCTCCACATATAGGGAATCAGGATTGCTTAGTTTAATTCACACGGATTTAGGTGATTTAAAAAATACCGTCACTAGAGGTTGAAAAAAATATATTATGTCACCTTTATAGATGATTTTTCTAGATACACTAAAGTTTATTTGCTTAAAAATAAAGATGAGGCTTTTGATAAATTTTTGGTCTATAAATCCGAGGTAGAAAATCAATTAAATAAAAAGGTTAAGAGAGTTAGACCAGATAGAGGGGGTGAATATATTTTATTTAATGAATTTTGTGAAAAAGAGGGGATAATTCATGAGGTCACTCCGCCATATTCACCCGAATCTAATGGAATAGCTGAAAGAAAAAACAGGACACTAAAAGAGATGATGAATGCTCTTTTAATTAGTTCCGGTGCACCTGATAATCTTTGGGGGGAGGCTATTCTTTCTGCTTGTCACTTGCAAAATAGGATACCTCGTAAGAACAATAAGAAAACCCCTTATGAATTATGGAAAGGTTTTGTGCCTAACTTGAAATATTTGAAAGTGTGGGGGTGTTTAGCTAAGGTCTTATTGCCTGGTCCTAAAAAGAGGAAAATTGGTTCTAATACTTGTTTATTGGTTATGCTGAATCTAGTGCTGCTTATAGATTCCTTGTTTTACAAAGTGATGTGCTTGAATGTGATACAATTGTTGAAACAAAAAATGTTGAATTTTTTGAAAATGTGTTTCCTTTGAAACGTGAACACAAGACCATTGCACCACATAGTGAGTTTGATCCATTACAAGGAAATGAAACCTTTAATGATGATTCCTCTAGTGATTGTGATCCATTAAAAGAAAGTGATACTTTTAATGATGAACCTTCTCTTTTGAGAAGAAGTAAGAGGCCAAGGATAGAAAAATCTTTTGGAAATGATTTTTATACATATCTTGTTAATGATGAGCCTTTAACTTATTCACAAGCTATTTCTTCAAAAGAAGCTGCATTTTGGCTTGAGGCCATACAAAACGAAATTGAGTCAATCAAACAAAATAAAACATGGGTTTTAACCGACTTACCAAAAGGTTGTAAACCAATCGGATGCAAATGGATTTTTAAAAAGAAATTAAATCCGGATGGTTCAATTGATAAATATAAAGCGATGCTTGTGGTGAAAGTTTTTTCTCAAAAACAAGATGTTGATTATTTTGATACATTTGCACCGGTAACGCGTATTTCTTCTATACGAACTTTAATTGCCTTGGCTTCTATCCAAAAACTTTTTATCCATCATATGGATGTAAAAAATGCGTTTTTAAATGGTGAACTAGAGGAACAAATTTATATGGTGCAACCGGAGGGTCATGTAGTTATTGGTCAGGAACACAAAGTGTGTAAGTTGATCAAATCTTTATATGGTTTGAAACAAGCTCCAAAACCATGGAATGAAAAATTTGATGAAGTGTTATTTGCTCATGGTTTTACCTCACTAGAAGTAGATAAGTGTGTATACACTAAATGTGAAAATGGTGTGTGCATAATTATTTGTTTATATGTGGATGATATGTTAATTTTTAGTAGCAACCTTGATTTAATAAATGAGACAAAATCCTTTCTTGCTTCAAAATTTGTTATGAAAGACTTGGGGGAAGCAAAAGTGATTTTGGGTATGAAAGTCATAAGGAAGGATGATGGTATTATACTGTCTCAAGAGCATTATGCTGAAAAACTTCTAAAGAGGTTTGGACATTTCGATGTCAGCCCCGTGAGCACCCCTTATGACTTTCATATACATTTAAAAAAACATAGAGGTGATCCCGAGGCTCAATATGAGTATTCCCAAATTATTGGAAGTCTATTACACTTGATGAATTATACGAGGCCTGACATAGCTTATGCTGTCGGAAGATTGAGTCGATATACTCATAATCCAAGTGGGGATCATTGGACCGCGTTGAGGCGGTTACTCAGATATTTGAGAGGTACCATTAATTATGGTATATTTTATAGTGGGTTACCCGCTGTACTAGAGGGGTACAACGATGCTAACTGGGTCTCTGACTCAGATGAGATAAAATCCAACACGGGATATATATTCACCCTTGGAGGTGGTGCCATTACGTGGAAATCAACCAAACAAACTATAATTTCTAGATCCACTATGGAGTCCGAGCTTATCGCTTTGGAAGTGGCTAGTAGTGAAGCGGAGTGGTTAAAAATTTCTTAGCAGAAATTCCGATTGGTACAAAACCATTACCATTTGTGTCTATTCATTGTGATTGCAAAAGCGCAATAGATACTGCTAAGAAAATGTGTTATAATGGGAAGAATAGACACATTCGTTTAAGACATAAAGTCATTAAACGATTATTGAAGAATGGAATTGTGTCCATTAATTTTGTGAGGTCACAAGGAAATTTAGCGGATCCTTTGACAAAAGCCCTAGGACGAAAATTGATAACCGAAACATCTAAGGAAATGGGACTTGTGTCACTTTGAAACAAATGGGGATGGGAACCCAACTTGTGTGATTGAAGATCCCATGAAGCAAGTTCAAATGGGTAATAACAAGTCTTCCATTTAGTTCTGCTAGCCTAACTAAAATTGCTCATTTCCATGATGTGAGATATAGGCTAGAAACCGCATTCTTTGAGAGCTTGAGCTTAAAGCTCTTAATGATTATCATAGCCCTTAATTTTAGGGTGGTGTGCAAAAGCGATATACACTTGATGATATCACCTATATGAGTGTGAGGTGGGGCCGCCTCCATGAAGCATGACAAAACTTCTAGAGCACTCATGAAAACCAAGCACGCGCATGGCCTTACGGCGCACAACGGCGTAATAACGAGAAATTGTGCGGGGTGAGACACGGCCGTTAAGACCTTGATTTACCAATAGTAGCTTGTTGGTTTCAAGAAACTATACGTTTCACCAAAAGCTCGGTTTATTAAGACTTAATCGTCTCGGTTGGGTTTCAAGTCTACGGACTAGAGATGGACCCGGGCCGGGCCCGGACGGGCTTTTTTGGCAAAATGTTAGGCCCAGAACCGGCCCGGGTTGATACCGGGTCCGGGCCTAACCGGGCTGGGTTGGGCCAGGCCCGGGTCAAGTTCAATTTTTTTTGGTTTCTAATTAACACCCGACCCCCCCCTTCACCCCCACCCCCAAACCCCCCCCAAAACACCCAACCCTAACCTAGAAAAGCAAAAAAAATTGAAAAAACAAAAAAATTGAACCAGGCCCGGCCCGAACCGCTCGGGCCGGTTCACCAAAAGTTGGGCCCGAGCCCGGCCCACCCGACCCACCCAAACGGGCTAAAAGCCTGAAACCGGCAAATCGGTCCCGGTCCGATCCGGGCCCATAGACTCCTACTATTCTAAGGGAGGCCCAATAGGCCCAGGAAACACAACAGGCCCAAATCACAGCGCCCCAAGTACTAAGCAACCCACGTGGCACACTGGGGGTGCCTTCGCCCCCTGGCCGAAGGCTCCAAATTCTCACAGGATGGCCAACTCAAGCAAACAAAGTTACTCGGAGAAAACGACGAAAATCAGTAGCCCTCGGCACAAAGCAGGTCCCCGGTACTCGGAGCCCTCGGCTAATCATCTGCAGGTGAGGGCACCTTTCTCGACATAATATCCTCTTCACATGCGCCTGAATCACTGTACCAAGTACGACGTCACCCCGTTGAGGTGACCCCTCGACCACCAGAATGATGACACGTGTCCCTATCTGGCATTTATTACTACTATAAATAGTGCTCCTTTCCCCATTTGTAACCCAAGCAAAAATCGCTCATTACATTCTCAGCAATGCAATCTCTCTCTCTTACTTTTACTCTGACTTCTCTCTAGTTACTCCCCGCAGTAACCCTTCGGATACATACCCCCGGGTAGACTACCCATCATTTGGTGCTCTCGTTGAGAGGTCGAATAATCAAGTAAGAACCCCCCTCGCCAAACACAAAACACCTAGCGAAAATGGTGAGAACAACTCGTGCCAACTCCAAGAACGTTGAGGACAGGAACCTGACCCTCGGCGAAGTCGACGTCCCCGAAGCCTCTAACAGGGCTCCCGGGGGCGGCGTCATCGCCGGCTTGGACTAGACGGCTGTCAACCTACGCCATCAGATTCAACAGAATGCCCCCGATGCCCGCCTCGGCATCGAGGCCAAAAAGAAGGACCAGAGCAAAAAACAAGTTAGCCCTCCGGTCATCACTATCGACGTACAGTCGGCGTTTTCCGCCTTCATCCAGATGCTCACCCAGAATCCGAGTGCCTTCGGCACTTTGGTTCGGGGAGAATATCATGCCTCCCCCTCATCCACACCCCCTCGGGAACCCTGTCCTCCGGATGGGGAACGTCGAGGGGGTCGTGGCCCAAGATACGGCCTCCCAGGAAGTC